TGCTCAAGTCAAACCTCAGGTCCAGAGGAGCCGACCACGCTTGCTGTGAACATCTCGCTGACACCCCCAGGCTCAAAAGCAGGAGGTGCAGCCTGCTGGGGAGGTCCCTGTCCCCACACACTCCTGTTTAAAAACACGTCAGCTATAAACCTAATGGAGAGGCAGTAAAGATGAAGTTGCAGTTCCTTTTGCTAGATGTGGATGTGGGAGAGGTCATCACAGCCCTCAGCTCACCCAGGAGATGTTTCCCGTGTCACTGACATTACTGTTTATCACAAGCAGGAATTGCAGTGCTTCTCTCTGTGGTGAAGCAATTGTCCTGCTTATCTTCTACCCTGCAAAATTATGGTTATTTGAAACAGTCAGACTCAGGATGGGGTGTTGTTTTGGTGGTTTTTTTTCATTTTTTCTTTTTAAATCCATGTTAAAGAGGGCTTTTTGAAGCATCCTGAGAAGAGTGGTAGGTGCCACAATGAACAGATCACATTGATTTTCCACCATCTCCCTTTTCCTCTGGACAGTGAGCCAGACCCACTCTTGGACAGTTTGTGGAGAGAGGCAAACCTGGAAAGAAAGAGACAGATATTTCTGCAATAAATAGTTGCTCTTGATTAAGGGGTTGAAGTCCTGAAACCAAGTCGGTTGCCCAGAAGCACTTCTGCCATCTCCAAAAATTGCTTCAGCCAAGCCTTTCAAAACCTCTCTTACTATTCCCTGTGTGATCTCATGTCTAGGCGAAAGCATCTCTGTGACTGCATTTGCCCCAGGCACAGGCTGTGTTTGCAGCCAAAGCTCTCACCAATTTTTTCAGCTGTACTTCCCCAGACAGGATGGAGGGAGCTGAGGGCACTCCGCCATCATTTCCAGAGGAAGCCAGGCAACAAGTGAGGGTCACTGACCTACCAGGATTAGCTACAGAAAGCTAGGCCCTGCCATGCCTAGGGCAAAGGAAGGATACGATGCGTGTGCAGGGTCATGCACGGCTGCCTCATGGGCAATCACTGCCTGAGCCAGCCAGGTCCTGGCCATATCTCACGTGCCATTTGCTACCTCTTTTTTGGATGGCCCTGTTATTATTATTTACTGGCCAGTGGCAAAGACAGACACACAGCTGGGGACTGAGATTTAGGGTAAGCTCAGAAATATACGCCACTCAAAAGAATGTCTGCTGTCATTACAGAGAACCAAGTGCTATTAAAAGAACGAGGGACTATTAAGAGATTGGCACTGATTCAAAATGAACAAGGCTGAGGGCAACAGGAAGAAGTCACCTTTGGACATGGCAAGCAAAGAGTAGATGAATAGATGAGGTGAAAAGTGAGAATTCCAGATGTTTTCTTGCAATCCCATTTCAGGGACAGCTGTAGGATCTAAACTATGGGCTCATCTGTGTTTAACAGGGTACACTAGGCATATTTAATGTTCACCTTCTTCCAGCTCTTTGGCCTGAAGGCCTCATATAGTTCTGAGGAAATGTCCCAGAGGGTCTAAATCAGTACATAGCTCCGGCGCTGCAATCTGGTCCTTCACAGCCCCTCCAAGGAGCTCCAGGAGCTCTCAACTCTGGTCTCATCTAGAAAGGCACACTTTTTTCTAGTCAGAAAGAATTACCCTTTTTTTTTCCAGAGGAATATAAAGGAAAATTCTGAGTCTAAGTGAGTGCTAACCACAGTGTCCAACGCATGGCAGGCGCATGGCAGTCAGCTGCAACAAGGTGGTACTTTCCAGAAGGCATATTCTGGCCATTGGCTCACCATAGACTAAATTTTCATTAAAAAAAAAAACAACAAAAATCCCACAAAGGTGCAACATGGTGAATCTTTAACTCTTTGAGTGGCTTAGCGCCAGAAGGCCATCCTTGCAAGGGGGGAGCAGTTGTGCCTGTCTCCTCACACCATGGAGTGAGTCAGGGCAATGCTGCCATGCACCATCCCTGAGCTGGAGGCCCTCCCTGATGGGGAGTGCTATCCTTGCCCACATCATGGGCATCCCACAGGACTCACACAAGGAGATCCCTTTCGAGTCCAAAGACTGCAGCTCTCCCCATGCCAACTTTGCAGGCTCCTGCTGATGGTTCATGCTGCTGGTTCATTGTCTGCCGTCTGTCATTGAGGAGGCCTTGACATTTTTCTGTCACATAACTCAAATGTCACTTCACTGCACTACCCGTCTTTGGTTTCAGTTATTAGGAAGCTGAAAGAGCTCAGGAACTAGGAACCAATGATGAGATCCAAAGATGTCAGTGCCCCATGCATTTTGTGCTCATGCAGAGGTGTTCCCCCATCTTCCTGTCCATTTCGGCAATGCTGTGACTTTCCTCTCTTCTCCTCTGCCCTTCGGGCTGCAGCAGAAGACATTCCTCACAGAGAGGCAACCAAAAGCAGAAGGGGTTTTCCCTCTTGCGGACCCAAATCTTGGGAGAGAAAAACCCCACTTCGATTTTAAGTACTGCACCAACCTGAGTAAATTCAGAGCTGTTCTATGTAAAACAAAATTAAGCAGAGAAGCAGAAAAGGTCAGCAGGCACAGCTGGCAGTGCCGAGACATCAGCAGCTTCTTTTCCCACTTCCTTTTCTTTTACTATTTTCTCTACCAGATGCTTTTCAAACTCCACATTTGCAGTGGGGTGCAGAAGGACAGCATATCTCTGAATTGGCATGGCACGCTGAACTGCTGCAGCTGCTGGGGCGGATGCTCCCGTGCAACCCTGAGCGCTCAGCTACCTGAAATCACCCAGGACTCTGCTCCAGTCCCCTGCTCTCACCTGCCCCCAAATTCCCCAGGGACTCTGCCCTGACCCACCTCTACATTTGCTATTGCCCTGAAATCCCCCAGGGCTGCAGCTCAGAAACTACCACCGTGTTCTCTCACAGGAATGAGGGGGGATTTTTTTTTTTTTCCTTCATTTAAGAGGTGCTGGTACCTTCTGGGGTCAACTGGGGCTGTGGAGATCTGGTGTGCAGCACCAGATGAACACTAAAAAGGTTTGGCCTCCACAAAATGCAACCCCAGCCATGCTCAATCCTGTTTCTCACCTCCTCCTTACTGCTGCTGTCCCTTCCTCAACCACCCACCAGATGCCCTGAGCAGCCTAACCACCACCATCATTAAAAATAAAAGATAAAAGAAGGCAACAGGATCACCAAGCACGCTGGACATAGCAAAGGCTAGCCCTGGCTTGAAAGAGCTGGAGGTCACCAGAGGGCTGAGCTGGGCCATGCTTTGATCTGCAGGGATAATGGTGTCCCAAAACAATGAAGGATGGAGCAACATAGGGAAAATCCTGCACTTGGGCCACAACAACCCCATGCAACGCTACAGGCTTGGGGAGGAGTGTCTGGAAAGTTGTCAGGCGGGAAGGAACTTGGGGGTGCTGATTGACAGCTGGCTGAACATGAGCCAGCAGTGTGCCCAGGTGGCCAAGAAGGCCAATGACATCCTGGCCTGGATCAGAATTAGTGTGGCCAGCAGGAGTAGAGAAGTGGTTGTCCCACTGTACTCAGTACTTGTGAGTGTGAGGTTGCACCTTGAGTACTGTGTTCAGTTTTGGGTACCGCAGTGTAACAAAGACATTGAGATGTTGGAGAGGGTCCAGAGAAGGGCAACAAAGCTGGTGAAGGGTCTTGAAAATAAGTCTTATGTGGAGTGGATGAGGGAATTGGGGTTGTTTAGTCTGAAGAAAAGGAGGCTGAAGGGAGACTTTATCGCTCTCTGCAACTACCTGAAAGGAGGTTTTAGACAGGTGAGTGTTGGTCTTTTCTCACAAGTTACAACGAATAGGAAAAGAGGAAATAGCTTCAAATTACACCAGAGGAGGTTTAAGTTAAACATTAGAAAAAACTTCTACAATGAAAGGGTTATCCAAGACTGGAACAAGCTGCCCAGGGAGGTGGTTGAATCACCATTATTGGACTTGTTTAAAAGCTGTCTAGATTTGGTGCTTGGGGACACGATTCAGAAGTGGACCTGGCAGAGTTAGCTAACAGTTGGACTTGATGATCTCGAAGGTCTTCTCCAACTATAGTCATTCTATGGTTCTATGAAAGACCCTCGGTAAAGGCGGGAGGCTCCGCTCAGGCTGCAGTGAATGAATGCTTAAAAAGGGAGGGGAAACTAAACACCACCACTGGGGAAAGACCCTCCTCAAGGTCTCTCCCCTCCCGGCCTGAGGAGGGGAGGTCAGGAGGGCTGGGGGTGGTGTGCAACTAGTGAAGAGTTTCAATGGAAAAAAGCAGGGGAAATGCTGAAAGAGCCTTTCATTTTTACTTTTTTTTTTTTTAAAAAAAATATATTATTCAGTGAAACAATCCATTTCTATGCCGTGACTTCACTTTCCATGTGACAGCTTCATTTCCCAGTTGACTGTGGAGGAGCTAAGAAAACAGACAGACCCGAAAACTAAACAGAGCACCCATAACCCCCCCCCTCCTCTCCCCAACTC